AACAAATCGCCTCAAATGCAAGCTCCTTGGCTACTCATACTATACCTACATCCTATACCTGTCAATAACCTCCAACACTGTGACAGCCCATCATGATAGGGCACCGCGTCTTAGCACTTGCCCTTGTTTGTAGGGGTATATAAACACAGAGATTCTCTATATCTCTCAATGGCTGTTATCAATCATGATATTGCTCAAGGTTCTCTACTCTTGGTGAGTGAAGTCCATCAAGACCTGTCATCCGAGTCTGTGGTTGAAGGCAGTTTGTTAGTCCTCCATTCCAAGTCTGTTCTAGATGGACTTGCATGATTGCAACACGCATAACAGGGTCACCTGCAAGACTACCCATGCACAGATGGGTTTATCTCAGGCTGGTGATGGTTTATATATTTGTGAGGTGTGTTTTTGTTCTATTTTGCAACGGACAAAGATGCTATAACAATGATCTGCTGCACTTAGGTTCACGACAAGTGCACTAAAGAGTGGTACGGGATCCTCAGACAGCCAGAAAAAGGGCAAAAAACTGGTGCTGAGTAGTTTGGCCCCAAAGGAGCATCCAGCTGTCAAATGGACATGGAAGTGCCTGGTGATGGATTTAGTAACCTTGGCGAAAATTAGTTTCACGAAGTTTGAGTTGTTTTCCTTTACCATGATGCACTGGCATGTGACCGTGTTAGAGCAAGATGTTTTTGTAAAATGGTTTACTGTCAAAAATGTGATCGGGGAGCAGTGAGTTAATATGTTTCTATTATTCGAACGCTCACTCAGATCCATTGTTGTATGGACTAGTTAATGCCTTCCAGGAATCTAAGTTTTTACAACAAGGGCATTGAGCCCTGTCTGGATGTTGCTTAATGCCTCATCAGAAGAGCAAACTGCTGTAGGTGATGAACTGGGTGTTAGGCACAGGCAGACTGGACTGTGAATTGTGGGGTATGAGACGGGAAAGCAGGACATGTGAGTTTTTTCACCAATCTTTAACTACTTCTAACTTAGAACATAAAGAACAGCCTGCCACACTCACTCATGACCATTGAGTGGGAGGACACCTTTGCCAGCGTCTACTTGAAGGACAACCCGCAGTTGTTGTTCTCTATATGTCGCTTTGAGATCCTCATCTTGCCCAAGATTAGGACGATGGATGGCAAGCAGTTCTTGTTGAAGACGCTGTATGGAATCTCACCAACGAACAGACTTGGTTTCCTCATTCATTCTGTCTATGTAATTCTTAAACCGTTCCTCAGGAAAGGCGCCCCCTAGCGCTCTCGGCTGCATATGTAAATATGAGTCTGTCTCGTTTTTAGCTGATCTGCTTCGTTTACCAGCATGAGAACAGGTCATGGGAGTTCTAGAGAGCGAGACGGGTTGTTGTCTTTCAATCCTCTTGCTGTGCAACAATTTATTGTTGCATCAATATCCTGGTGAGCCCAAGGGCCAATTCACGACTATGAAGGCTACTAACAATAAGCCTGAACTCCACCCCACACGCAAAGTAGCCCCAAGTTGCCACCATTAACAGAAATGATCATCACTCTCACGTCTCAAATTTATTGTCGGATCAATCCTCCTGATTGCTTTTCCTGGTCTCGCCAAGACAAATCCACGGACTTCATGGCGTAGGCCTGCAGGCGCTTGCGTACAATGCGCCCGCTCACTTCCTGTGCAGAATTTTTTTTTGGAAGAAACTATCGGCAGGACTTGACGTTGGACATTAATTCCAAAATGTCTGTCAGTGCTCTCGCTGCCCAGACATAGGAAATGGGACAGAATTTGGATATGGGTATTTGTGTAAGTACAGTGTATGGATCCGAAGCATGCAGCTATTTCTCAGTTCGAACTATTAGAACTTTTGTCTGTCATATACCTGATCTGACCACTCCAATATTGATATCCACTCCACTTTCCGACCCCCTCTGCTCCATCCATCCTCCGCTCTGTCCAATCACAAGTCTGCATTCCACCCCTACACTTCCGCTCAACCGCTCAACCGGTCCCCTTCCATAACCTCTCCATTCAACTGGACCTCTTTCCCCTTTTAGATATACAGTGGCTCAAAAAACTGTCCGCATGTTTGTGCTATTTTCACTATCTACATTATTGTATATGAATGGACAGGTAGACCAAGGTTATGCTAGTGGGGTACTCTGTAGTACTCCCTTGGGGCATGAATGTGAGCCCTTGACCGTGGGAATCCATGGTAATGTGGTGGCGCTATAGGCCTTAAAAAATGATGACTCATGTGGACAGTTTTTTGACCCAAGTATTTTACACAGATAATTAGCTGTTCTAGTATTTTGTGTGACCTCCCTTGCCCTTAATTCCTGCCTCTATCCTTCTAGGCATACTTTCAATCAATTTCTGACAATCCTCTGCTGTAATCTTTCCCCACTCCACTGTAACTCTCTCCTATAACTCCCACACTCCTTTAGGAGGGTGTTCATAGGCTAAAAGCTTCTTCTTGAGTACTCCCCAGAGGTGTTCAATGACATTGACATCAGGGGATTGTGCTGGCCAGCCAAGGAGGTGAATATTTTGCTCTTCAAACCATTCTCTGGCTCTTCTGCATGTATACTTTGGATCATTATCCTGTTGTAAAATAATGTCTTCTTCATCAATTCCTGATTCTGCCATGGTAGGCAGCAAGTGGTGGTTGAGGATGTCCACATACTGCTCAGCATCCATCCTCCCCACAACTTCTGCAAGCATTCCCACACTATTCCACCCCATAGTTCCCCATACCATTAGAGAACCTCCTCCAAACTTGAGAGTTCCATTAATCTCTCTGTCTGTAAGAGGGCCCCCCTTCTTTTTCCACACATATACCTTCCCATCTGACCCAATTCTATTGATTTTAGTCTCATCAGACCATATGACCCGCTTCCAGTCCTCTACAGTCCAGTTTTGATGGGCTAGGGCAAAGGCTAGTCTTCTCTTCCTATGAGTGATGGAAAGAAGAGGCTTTTTCTTCTTTATTACAGCCCTAAGATTGGCTTCCTTAAGGACATTCCTCACTGTTTGTGAAGAAACTGGAGTAGGGATGATGGAATTGATATGATGAGTGACTTGGACAGCATTATCAGCCTTTTCTGTGGTGATATGTTGGATAATGACCCTCCTATCAGTAGAGGTGAGTTTGGATGGACAACCTCCACCGGAGTTTTCCTTGTCTGGGTGACATTCTTTGATGAGCTTAGCTACAGTAGACTTGCATACACTAGTTCTAGAGGCTATTTGATGAGTGGAGAGGCCAGTAGTAGACAGAGAAAGGATATTAACCCTTTGAGCAGAGGAGATGGTTTTCATGGTGATTATGACTATGATATATGGGACACACTTCATTATATACTTAGCAATAGGTTTAATAATGTCATAATGACACCACTTCATAATTTATTTAATAGTGGCATGACTTTATGGTGTCATAACTAATGATTTATATAATTTTAATCTAGGGTCAAAAAACTGTCCGCATGAGTCATCATTTTGTAAGGCCTATAGCACCACGACATTACCATGGATTCCCACGGGCAAGGGCTCAAATTTACGCCCCAAGGGAGTACTACAGAGTACCCCACTAGCATAACCTTGGTCTACCTGTCCATTCATATACAATAATGTAAATAGTGAAAATAGCACAAACATGTGGACAGTTTTTTGAGCCACTGTATACTTTCCCCTTCAGTACATACAGTGGCTCAAAAAACTGTCTGCATGTTTTCACATTTTTCACTATCTATGATATTGTATGAGAATATACAAACACATCAAGGACATGCTGGTACGATATTGTAGTACTACTTCAGGGCTTTCAATTGAGCACTATGGTGTGGGAATCAGTTGAGATATGGTGGAGATATGAGGCTTACAAAATGATGACTCATGTGGACAGTTTTTTGACTCAAGTATTTTACAGTGATAATCAGGTATTTTAGTACATTGTGTGACCTCCCTTGGCTTTAATTACTGCCTCTATCCTTCTAGGCATACTCTCAATTAATTTCTGGCAATATTCTGCCATAATCCTTCCCTGTTCCACTGCTACTCTCTCGCATAGCTCCCATACTCATTTAGGGGGGTTTCAGAGGCTTGAAGCTTCTTCTTGAGTGTTCCCCAGAGATGTTCAATGACATTGACATCAGGGGACTGTGCTGGTCAGTAAAGAACATTGATATTATGTTCTTCAAACCATTTTCTGGCTCTCCTAGATGTGTGCTTGGGATCATTATCCTGTTGGAAAATGATGTCTTCTTCATCAATCCCTGATTCAGCTATGCTAGGCAGCAAGTGGTCATTTAGAATGTCCACATACTGCTTAACATCCATCCTCCCCTCAACGTCAGCAAGCATACCCACACCATTCCATCCCATACAGCCCCATACCATTAGAGAACCTCCTCCACATTTGACAGTCTCACTAACATCTCTGTCTGTTAGAGAATCCCCCTTCTTTTTCCATACATATACCTTCCCATCTGACCCAATCCTATTGATTTTGGTCTCATATGACCATATACCAAGCCAAATGTAGTCTTCTCTGTCTATGTTTGATAGAGAGAAGAGGCATTTCTTCTTTGTTACTGCCTTGAGATGAACTGCCTTGAGAACATCCCTCACAGTTTGTGAAGAGACAGTGGTGGTGATGGTGGAATTGATATAATAGGTGGCTTGGACAGCATTATCAGCCTTTCCTGTAGTGATATGTTGGATGATAGCCCTCTTATTGTTACGCAAAACCTCTCGGATGAGATCCGGCAGCGCTAAACCTGCAAGGGGTGTTCTAAGCGTGGCCTTCGGCACTAGCCCAGCAAGGAGCTTGCCTGCGCTAAGTCTGAGTAAGGGTTGAGGCCCTTACTTGCATAGAGTTGATTGGGGTTTCTTGAGGATACAATCCACGAGATGGAGTTCAACTCAAGAGTATCGTCTCAAGAGAAGATGGTTCTTTGTACAGAGGGAGTTCTCTTAGACAAGAGAAGTTCAAACCCAACGACAAGATCAGATGAGAACCGAGTAGATTCAAGTTAGAGAATCTAGTTACATGAGAAGTGATATATATATGTACATAAAGTGATGTACCAGTGGAACGGTAAGGGTACAGGGTAAGCGGAGGCAATACCGATGTAGTGGTAAGGGTCAAGGGTTGTGTGAGTCATAAGTGTAAAGAAGTAAGAAGTACCGGTTGAACGGTAAGGGCAAAGGGCATGGGGAATCCCCATCAATGAGAGAACCAAAACAGTGGATAGGGCATAGGGTTCGGTAGAAGCCGGGGCTTCTCTGATCTAGGGGTAGAAGCGAGAGCTTCTCGTGTTTCAGAACAACAGGATCAAAAGAAAGAAATGGAAATAGAATCGTAACCATGGTCCAGGTCTAGACGAGTCCGAAGAATGAAATGACGCGTAACGCTCATGTTACTGTAACACTTATTAGTAGAGATGGACATCCTCCACAAGAGTTTTTCTTGTCCAGGTGGCTTTCTTTGATAAACTTGGCCATAGTATACTTGCATACCTCAGTTCTAGAGGAAATTTGATGAACAGAGAGGCCAGCATAGGACAAAGAGAGGATATTGTCCCTTTGAGCAGAGGAGATGGCTTTCACATCAGGAAAATGTGGTAAGGCTATATAGACAACCATAGCACTATATACTGCTATACAGACTCCATAGCACTATAGCTTGTATAGCCAAGTGCCCAATTGTGCAGGCTTACTACACCAGTATATAGTGCTATATAGTGTTATGCAGAGCAATGTAACTATATACTACTATGATATGTATCTAATGTTAAGCAAATTTCAAGCTATACCAGACTATACCTGACTATACAATGTCTATATCTTGGTATACTTGGTGAAAAGTTTGTCTATCATGTGCTTTATAGCTTTATAAAGAGGCATATATTCATATTGCATGAGATATAGAAAGCGTGCATTCAGATACTATTATGGGTTTGGGACATCAGAAGTAGTACTAGGAGCATTGGTTTCTACTCTAGCAGACGCCTCCATGGCATCAAAATCCAATTCAGAACCAGAATCTGCATCCTCTCTAGTTACAAAGCGACAAGCCTCCCTAGGGTTGCAACCATTAGCAAATAAAATAGATAAATATTAACAATGAAAAAGATCTTACCCAACCTCAGTCCACAGATCACACCTTAGTTTTTCCATATACAAGGGAGATTTCTGGCGATATTCAGCAAGCTTCAGCATATAGTACTGGTGTCTAAAGAAATTTAACATTAGATGACGTTAAACTATAATAATGAAGAGCCACTCACCTTGGTTGAAAGACTGGCTCTTTGAATTCTATGATGACCGGAGATCCTGTGAGCATACCCTTGAATCCACATTCAGCCTGAAAAAAATAAATTAGCCATAGCTAAATGGAAAAAAGGGCTTAATTACAGCTGTAGCAATCAGTGCAATAAGATTATCGGGAAGTTTTTCAAACTCGTCTTTGTACAGCAGACCTTCTGAAATCGCTCCTTGAAAAAATTGACTGATGAGCAGCTGACGCAAGATTGCAGCATGGAATGGGAGATTCTTATTGAAGGTCTTGTTCCTAAACCATGCTTTAGATTTTAAATCTCCCAGACATAGGAGACGTACCTTGAGATCCAGTTCACCGCACAGAAAAGGATCCTTTTTAGCAGAGACCAGCCAGGAAGCTATGTCCGCTATCTTGGAATCAGTAGTATTTTGTTTGAAAAAAACAAGTGACGCACCAATATCCCTAGGTTTCATTTGCTGCAATAGAAAAATCACATTCTCTCTTGCCTTTCTAACCAGCTCCCCTCTCAACTGACTAGCACTGGACCACACCTTAAAAAAAGTAAGCATGGAGCACATCAAAAACCAAAACACTCACATAAGCCAGTGCTCTATTCTTAAGAACAGGATCTTGACTAATTGCGTCAAACATTGGCTTCAGGGGAGAGTCTGGAATCTTGACCGCTTCCTTGATGCAGTCCCATGCAAAGGAGTCCTGCACATCCACTGAAGGCCCTGGAAAGGCGCTCACCAATGCAATCTTGATGCGAAGTAGCTGGTGAGCAAGATTGACTAAGGGTCCGCAGCCGTCCTTCTTCAAGGAAGCCAAAGTCGTAGGTAGTTTCGCTTCACCATTACGAACTCTCTTCCTACGAACACGTTCTCCATTATCTTCCTGAGGCTCCTCCTTGACCTGAGTAAGCTACATATACAAAGTCAGCATTGAAGTCTATTGAATAAATATTACGCACCCCATTGGTTCTCCTTGTAACACCTGTGCCCTCCACAGATACATCTTCATCACCATCATTGCTGCCCTCATCACCACTACCCTCATTTCCCCCATCTTCATCACTAGAATCTAATATATGATGAGTATAATGTTGATGTTTTAAATAGAGAAATGATGCCATACCAGAACTAGGTGTAGATACCTTCTCTTTAGGAGGAAGAACTGGTGGTAAAATGTCTGCAGGATCAGCGTCATCTATATGTTCCATGTCACTGTCATCTGGAACCACAGTTGTTGTACACAACACTATTGCAACAATTAGCTGTGTTATAGATGTTAAAGCAAAGACTTGCCTCTTTTATGCTTATTGTCTTTGCTGGTGCTGGTACATGCCTGGTCCAAGTCACTCTCTTCATCTAACATATCATCAGCTTTCTTCCGGACATCTAATATAGTTAGCATATTTCCAGTCTCATTGAGCTTCTGCATCACATACTTTCTTTACGCTTTAAATCAGCTTCCTTTTTCTTCTGTGCTTGATACTTGAGGAATTCTTCGTATTGGTCTTCTGCCACCTGCGCTTTGGACTTAGTTGGTTTCCTTTGTGCTCTGGTCTTAGCAATAGAGGGTGCTGGTGCAAGTGAACTTGTTCCCTTCCCTTTAGGCTTGCTGGGCTTGCAGAGACATTTTATATAGAAGTGAGATTTGAACAATGAGTAATGACTGTGAATGGGAAGGTTGAAAGGATGGAAGCGAATTCAAGCTGACTTAAAAATGGTAAACAAAACTTTATAATTATGCGGGACCAAACATATAAGCCATGGCGCAATAAAGAATTCTACATTTTGCACATGTATCATACAAAAGAATGCATGGTCTGGTTATCTACCCAGCCATTTTGATTTTTAAGCCAAGTTGCAAACTCCCTGTCAGTCTGAAAGACAAGAGACAGCCCTTGCACCCTTATAGTCAAGGTTGAAATGGGTTACCTCACTTGACCTAAAGAGCGCAACATCACCAGAACGCAACTCCAGGACAAGGTCCATTCTCTAGCAGGCACAAAGCGCCTCCTTGGAAGTGTCCAATAGGTATGACAAGACAGAAATGGCGATCCTGTCCATCTCGATGGGCTTTGGTCCTCACATTGATGTTGATGACCAAAGATATAAATGGCAGCGAAAGGTGGACAGTGATTGCCAGGCAAGATTGATGCAACCTCCATCAGCATCTCAAACTCGTCTTGCAAAAAATTCTCCATCTGCCAAACGTCAACATAAATCTGTGAGCGTGAACAATTCTTTACAATTACATACCAATTTTCTTACCCACTCAAAGAGCTCCGCATATACATGTGAGATTGTAGAGTAGATGTGTTGGTGTTCACGCAAATCCTTTGATATGTACGGAATCACCTGCTGGTGGTTTGTACGCATGCCTTCTTTTTCTAGAAGCCACGGTTGAACCTCCTTCGGGGCCTCATTACCCTGGTGCATCAATAATATTTAGTGATGTTAAAATGTAGAAATGAAACAGCTTACCAAGGTACAATGCTTATTATACCAAGACAAGTGCATCGCCTGAAAGTGTTGACACCCTGGCGATTGTGTGTCTACATCTTCCAGCAACTCAGGCCTTTCCAACGCAGACAAGAGATTTACCTCGAGCACAGAACGGATGTGGTTCGGTAGTGCTATTGACACAAATGCCATCAGCGAACCGTCTTTGCAATGCAGCTCCAAGTGATGACTGAGAAGTGTCAGCGTCATCGTAACAGTAAAAAAGCAGGAGTGCGCTATGCACTTGGGTATAATCTCCATAGGGATTCTTAAGTATGTGTCTGGCAATCTCTTAACACCATTGGGATACAACTTCACAAGCTATATAAGCGGGATCATGAGCTAAATTGAATTAGTACTAGCTGAAACATACCCATACCTTTGCCCGCAAACCGTCAATACTTCTTACCCTCTCACCCCGCTCAGCTCGCAACCTTTCATCAGCACTCCAGATATCGTTGTCTGCCTTGTTTCTTGGTGCCTTGAAGCTCTTGTTGTCCAATGCGAGCGGATCATACGAGGTCTTGATGACAATATGCACCGTCTCATCTTCTTCAACATCAGAAAGTGGTGGGCTATAAGCGCGACTGGAACCATAGAATACGTCGTGATTCAAGCTCTGTACCGGAACTCTGTTAGATTTTTCTGGTACAGGCACAACACATAACCTCCAAACGCGTGCGTTTCTTGCGAGTGGTACAAATGAGCTGAGCAACAACAATGTCAGTCAATACGTAGCCCATCCAAGTATGAAATACTCACTTTTGTATGATGGCGTCAAAGAACTGATCAGATGCTGAGAGGTCTGTGCAGTCGACTGATTTGGACACAACAAATCTTTGAATCAGCGCAAGAGGGAACATTGAGGCCATGCTAAGAGGGTACACGAGACGCATGCGTGCAATAGTTGGAACAATGTATCCTATAATGAGATCTCTTTGGAGAGAATCTATGTTTCGGAGAATATGTCATTTTCCCATCCCAAAATGTCAGAAGAACAACTTACCTTTAGGAGGTGATCACAGGAAGTTAGCTATATTCAAGTGCATAGTGCCTACCATGGAAGCAATAGAGACCCTGAGCCCTAAGCTTGCAATGAGCACCAGTATGTAAATGGAACCGCCACTGGCGAGAGCAATAAATTTGCTGCCAATAGCGTGCCAGTCTGCAAATGTTCGATAAGAGATCTTTCCTGCAGAACCATAAAGCTTTATTTCCTGGTCATATATTGCTTTCAAGCGAAGACCAGTCTTGAGGTGTATGCTACAAAAGATTGTATTTTAAATTGTTAGAGCAGAACGAGGATAGAATACACACCTTTGGCACTTGCAGACCAGCGTCATATAGTTCATCATGATGAGGAAGTTGGCACGAATGTCCTTACTTATGATTCCTCGACATCGGACTACAACCGAAATCAGTGACTTGTCCTCCACGCATGGAGTCTGTACATGATTGGCGATATCCTGCAGCCAGCTCAGGGGACTGTGGATGGTTGAGTTGCAGTGAGTGGATGCAAGTTCTGCAATGATCGTAGCAGCTTCATCGCTACATGTGATCTTGGGGTCATTGTAGTGACGGTGACGCCATGAACCTCGTCTGGTATTTGCTCTCGCCACATTGCCTACATCACCTTCCTCCATCTCTGCCTCATCCTCCATTTCCTCCACTGCCTCCTCCTCCTCCTCCTCCCCATCATCAAGGCGCAGAGGGTCCTGACCAGGTGCAGCAGCACGCCGCAATCGTAACCGCAACCTCCTAGCACCACGATTACAATCATCATCAGCACCACGATTACGATTGTCATTTCCACCAGGCTCAGGTGACTCGCCTGGCGGTCCATTGCGTGCGTGTGTTGTAGAAAGACGAGCTCGTTTAGTAGGGTGGGATGAATCAGAATAACCAGAGTCCTCAGTGTGTGATCGTGTTCGGTGACGGACAGCAGGTAACTCGGACAGAATGTCGCCAGCAGTTGTTGAGGATGATGAATCAAGTGGCAGATGCGTAACAGGAGGAATGGGAATTGAGTCGCAATGATCAATAGGTGTGCATGAGGGGGAATGAGTATCGGACAACGAGCATTGAATATGAGCTTGATCAGTCAAATATTGATACAAGTCATGCAAAGCGGGTGGGAGCTGTCCACTGTCTCCCAATATCTGTAGCAGATGATCTGCTGCGTCAGGGGAGAGAACAATTGGCATGTTAAATCTGAATGGAGGGGACATGACTTATTGGAACCAAGAAGGCGCTGGTTTGGGGCAAGAAGGATGGATAAATAATTAAGTAAGATACAAATTCTTGCCCCTAGCTTAGGGTTCAAATTGCGAGTTGGTTGCAATCAGAGAGCTCTCCACCAATCAGCGCTCATCACATTGCACTTGGCAATTACAAAGTTTAACTACCGGTCCGCCTCCTCCTGTCATATCCACATCTTATCCCCATTCCTGCACAACACCCTCGCACCACTCCCTAAACTCCTCAATTGTCCACTCAAATTTGTGGTCGTGGTGCCTGAACACCCTGTCTGTGCATTTTGTAGGATTGCGGAAGCCAGTGGCAGTGTTCGTTAATCCGGGAGGGCTGAAGCGCGCTGGGAGGTGTTCGACGCTGAGGGAAGAGTAGAGTCGCATCATTAGATACACCAGGGTCAGGAGGGGAAGACATAATGCAGGCTGGCAGAGAACTGCGACGAGTACGTGAGACTTCGATGAGAAGCGCGCTGGGATGTGTTCGGCACTGAGGGAAGAGTAGAGTCGCATCGATAGATACACCAGGGTCAGGAGGGGAAGACATGATGCAGGCTGGCAGAGAACTGTGATGAGTATGTGAGACTTCGGTCGCGAATGCGAGTGCGTGAGATGAGAGAAGCGCGCTGGGAGGTGTTCGACACTGAGGGAGGAGTAGAGTCGCATCGTTAGATACACCAGGGCCAGGTGGGGAAGACATGATGCAGGCTGGCAGAGAACTGCGACGAGTACGTGAGACTTCGGTCGCGAATGCGAGAAGAGAGAAGCGTGCTGGGATGTGTTCAGCGCTGAGGGAAGAGTAGAGTCGTGTTGTTAGATACACGAGGGTCAGGAGGGGGAAGACATGATGTGCAGGGCTGGCAGAGAACTGCGACGAGGACGTGAGACTTCGATCGCGAATGCGAGAAGAGAGAAGGGCGCTGGGATGTGTTCAGCGCTGAGGGAAGAGTAGAGTCGCATCGTTAGATACACAAGGGGGAAGACATGATGTGCAGGGCTGGCAGAGAACTGCGACGAGTACGTGAGACTTCGGTCGCGAATGCAAGAAGAGAGAAGGGCGCTGGGATGTGTTCAGCGCTGAGGGAGGAGTAGATTTGCATCGTTAGATACACGAGGGTCAGGAGGGGGAAGACATGATGTGCAGGGCTAGCATAGAACTGCGACGAGTACATGAGACTTTGATCACGAATGCAAGAAGAGAGAAGCGCGCTTGGATGTGTTCGGCGCTGAGGGAAGAGTAGAGTCGCGTCGTTAGATACACGAGGGGGAAGACATGATGTGCAGGGCTGGCAGAGAACTGCGACGAGTACGTGAGACTTCGGTCGCGAATGCGAGAAGAGAGAAGCGCGCTGGGAAAAGAACAAAACTTACTTTTGGACAGCCATGGTCAAAGATGAAAACACCGTTGAAAACACCTCCACGTCATCCCTGAGCAAAGCCAAAATGCCCAGTGAAATACAAGTAGGTAGAGGATATGAGCCAGACGATAGAAGAATTTCATCAAAGTCGTTTGTTGACATGTTGTTTGTATCAGTCACATGACCACCAAGTTTGACCGTTGTCCATGACTTTCCACTTCCTTAACATTTTTTCAACTTATCTGAACTTGCTACCTCAGAGCGTTTACTTTACCAATCGGTACAACTTCACAACATTCCACGGTACGTTTCCATGCATGCAGCTATGAATACCAAGAAGCTGATCTTGAGAACGTGTACAGTAACATAATTCAACCATTTTGCCCAAACAATAACCCTAGTCTAGGGTTATGATTGCGAGTTCACTGCAATCAGAGGGCTCTCCACCAATCAGAGCTCTCCACCAATCATACTCATTCCTGCTCCACATGTCACAACTTTTTGCATAGCGGACATAAATAAGGGCAGACAGATGACTGTAGCCCATCAATGGCGGCGGTCTGGAGCTAATTCGGAGAAAATATCAAGGTAAGTCAGTGCTTCTATTGTAATCCCTTGTATTGACCTTGTCTTTTATTTCTTTCATTGATAACCCTGTGTCTTCGCTGCCAACCCTTATCCGCATGACCTCTGCTTGCCACCAACCGTCTTTTTCCATTCCTATACCAACCACTTCAACAATGGCTACACCAGACTTTATTCATCTGGAACACCGAAGTTATAACACGGTGAGAGACTTTCCTCTCTATATGGCGCGATGGCTGACCTGTTTATTTTTGGAGGTTCAATCCTGTGGTCTTGTTGCTAAGACCGACGAGGGATATCAAAGAGCAGTAGTCGAACAAGCTCGCAATCTCAGGGCATTTCTAGAGCCCTTGCAGCACCCACAGCCCTTGCAACACCTTCAGGCCTCTACGTCCTCCCAACTCTCGCAGCCCTTGGATTCCTCTTGGGCCTCTGAAGGATTTGTTGCGACACAAATGGAAGACAACAAGGCCATCGCACGAGACATCATCAACTGGCTCTGTCGTGATGATGTTATTTTCCAACACATCAAAAGTCTAGGCGATCCTACCAAGCTCCGGAGCGTGAAGGGTGTTCTGCAGAGGTTTAAAGAAAAGGGGTATTTGAATGATCAAGGTGCGAGATTTGATGCTTTGATGCTTGTCTATTCTCATCTATTAGCTAGGTTGGACAGATAAAATAGATTGTCCTGACTTGAAAGCACCTCACTTTAATCGCCAACAAGGTGGTGGGTCCAGCACAGAAGATTGTATGACCAAGTTTATGAATTGTTCAGTCGAAGAGGCGCTTTTGCTAGCAGGCGATTCAAAGATTAAGCGGATTTGGAGTTCGGAATATTGTCAGAAACCTCTTCCTGGGTCTGCTGAAGAATGCAAACCGGATATCATACTACTGCCCAGCGACCCTCTTGTTCAGGACTGGCGTTGTGTCTTCACACTAGCTGAGATGAAGCAGCATGGTGTTGACGTGGATAAACCGGAGTGGTTTGATGAGATGGCAAAGCGAGCTAACACGATCTGGGGTTGTCAGGATGCTCGCAACTTTGTCATCATCTTGATGTTCGTGGGCGAAGCGTTTACGTTTGCATTTTTCGATCGCGGAGGCGCTGTTTGCCTTGATATGCTAAACATCATGGACGATACGGAGGAATTCCTTCGGCTTGTTTTATACTTATCGCTGGCTGATCCTGGTATGTCTTTCAATCACGCTCATACAGTCATTAGCTCACAATGTTATGCGATAGGTATGGTGGGTCTGGAGACATCCATCATGCAGAATGAAGCTGGGCGATTTATACGATCAAGAGTTTTCGGTCCCAAGGTGCCAATCAATATGGTACTGTTCATCAGCAATAATATTCACAGATGTGGGACCGTGGCCCATCACATCATGCTGTCACGTGAGTGCATTGCGCAGGCATTGCAATCAGGTGGGTCTTGGGGCGCCATGGAGAAATGGCTCAAGGGAATGGAGAAGGAGGTGGATGTGGTGGTGAAAGATACCTGGGTTGATCTCACCGCACCACACACAGAAGGGATGATTCTCAACTACCTTTGACTGAAAGGCGTCCAGGGTGTTACACGTTTGCTCTTTGAGGGACTTGTTGTTGGCCCTGCTTCACCACCTCCACTCTTTCAACTTCACGATCGTCCGGGCATCGGTTCACTGAAGGATATCGGCGCCATATCTCAGACTGGCGACATCAATGTCTGGAGCAGCACTGTCTACAACCAGTCTTTTTGGGGTGTTCCAACACTGGCCTTGGCACACAAGAGCATGGCTAGGAGTGTCAACAAATATGATCGCAGCCATCCTGTGCCTAAAGGCGTCACCATACCAAAGCTGGAACCTGTGACTCGTGAAGTTTACCAGGAGTGGATGCTCACCCGATCTTGGTTATATCCGTTTTGCACACCCATATACGAATTCAGCTGTGTCTATGAGGCATTAGTTGCGATTGCGGATTGCATCCGATGTAAGATTTAATCTTTTTAATATTTTTTTTTGTAAACTGAATAAAATCGCAGCACATGGCAAGGCATTTTCGCCCTACATCATCTCAGAGGGTGGCAATGAGACCAACGAATTATTTCCCATCTCCTTTATGCAAGCTGACACATCCATGTGGAACATGGGACTTGTTCGTCCAGCAATGTCAGACTGGGGTTACATTGATCATACCGGAATTGATCCAAGCAATATTTGACACGGCCTGTTGTACGATCATGTGTTTGCCTCCTGGAATATGCGAAGCACATCTATGAGAGGAAGACCCCCATCAAAGATCTTTGCCAAGCATGCTGGCACCACTTCAACGCTGTCCTCCCAAGACGAAGCCCTTCACTTTGACGATTCTCTGGTTCACCATCCTGCACATTCTCCTGCTCATGCTTCGGTTTCTCATACTCTCGCCCCATGCAATTCTGCCTCTGGTACTTCTACCGATACTTCTGCCGCTCCTTCAGCTTCTTGTACGCCAGCCGCACCAACAAACGTCTCCCCCGTCCCACATTCGGACGCACCTTCAACGTCAATAATCCCTTCTGCACCCCCAACTTCCATGATCCCTTCTCAGCCAGCTTCAACCTCACCTTCACGTGGAAGACGTGGGACGGGTAAAGGCAAAGGCAAACAAGGAGGACAAAAGGGCACAGATGGGAGAAAAAGTACCCCTGGTGCTGTCAATGCCCCTCCCGATTCCTCTGCTGCTACACGCAAGCGCGGTTTTGATAGCGTTTCTCAAGGCAAGCCGGCTGACGGTCCATCCAAATGACAAGCTCCCCTTCATCACGTACCGAAGGTGAACATCAAGCCCAAGCACGTTGTCCAAAGTCTTCAAGTCGACGTTGCTGGCTACGGCTCTTTGAATATCGACGATGACTTAGAACGATTCAAGGAAAAGGGTGGCATTTATGAGCTGACAGTAAGTATTAATCATTGTCTTTGCCCTCCTGCTCATCGCATCATATGTACAGGGCACTCGAGCTTGGATGGCCATCCAGATGATGTTCACACAACAACCAGGCCAAGATAACATCCGACATGAAATCGCACATGATCTGGAAGGTTATTATTATGTGCTCCTCACCCTCGCATTCATGTTTGATGCACCATACGGATTGAAGAAAGTTCCACACCCCGATACAGCTAGCGGAGGGGAGATGTGGGTCCATCGTTGGCTTGAGAACACCATAGAGAAGGAGATCTGGCATGAAGCGGTAGAAAAACAACACTATCTGGCTACTGACGCAGGGTTCGGTATGGTGGACGGAGTGTTGGGTAACGACTGGGCAAATGAGCCTGTCAGGACGATGTTGAAGGAGATGAGGACGATCCTCTTCGTTGAAAGCGCACCAAGCCACTCCCGCATGCTCGACGTCATCAACACTGCACTCTTCAAGCTCCATACTGATCGTACATTGGCCCATCTCTGCCAGCCTCAACAGATGACCAATGAGTGGGCCAGGGCGGTAGGCGGTGGCGGATTTGCCAAACGCTCACAGACGCTCCCTGCCTTGTGCATGAATTTGTTGTACCACAAGGATCGTCAAAATGCCGATCTCAATCTCTTTGCTCGCATGCCCTGTCCCCCAGTCCAAGAACGCAAGCTCATGCCTGGTAACTCGTCACAGTACCTGAAAGGCACCGGTGGAAAGACAGCAGATCACATTAATGTAATGGCCGCACCTGTGGTGCTGAAGGAACTTCGGAAGGAATGGGCATCTTAGGTCCATGATTTGCGAAGCGTGCATGGTCAGACTATCAGACTTTATTTTTATGATTTCAAAGGACAACCCATCATACATGTTGTACAGTTTACAAGTCATTTAGCCTTTGCATAAGCTTTGTATCATACGTAACATGCTATACTTATTGCAATTGTATTTTTGGCGCAACATTTTGACAACTTTCATTGCAGTAGACGCTTGCATAGACGCTCCTCCTAAGACTCTTTCTGCATTCTCTTGTTTTCCATCAAATGGTGCACAGCAGGCGTGTTCTTGCTGAGGGTTCAACATCTTATAAATGCCCTGCTCCAGGCTGCATTTGCACATTCGGTACTACACAAGGACTGAATTCTCATCTACGCAATGCTGCAAGTTGTAAATGGTATAAGCTAGGGAAGGGAAGAGAGCTGGATAGGGTGGATGAGGAAGGTATGGAGGGACTACCAGATGGGATAGCAGATGAGGTGGAAGATGATTTATTTCAGTTGATACCTCTGGGGCCAGATAGTAAGTTGCAATATCGCTCTCTTGTTAAGTGCTTACCTTATTTCTAGTTCATGAAATGCACTACGATAACCAGCACATGATGGATGTAGACCAGGAGCAGGGAGAGCCCGTAGCCGGTCCTTCTACTAGTAGGCATAGAACCGCTTTAGCAGAGGAGGAAGATGCGCGTGTCACAGAGACTCATCCTACTGCTGGGAGGGTCATACGAATGGAGGAGACAGTGCATGCTAAATGGCGGACACAATTTGGATCAGGTGATGGAGAAGAGGCGGAATCAGACTGTTCTGATGAAGATGAAGATGGTAATTTATTCTACCCCTTTGCATCATGTCTGGACTGGCAGGTAGGGTGTTGGGCTGTGCAAGAGGGAATAGGACACAAAGCATTTGACAGGTTGTTTGCTATACCAGGTGTACGTCAACTTATATATTTCCTATCAATATCTTGGCTGATATTTTGCAAATAGGTTAGAGAGCGTTTAGGACTTGCATATTATAATATCAGAGGACTCCATCAAACCATAGACAGCATCCCTCCTCGAGCTAAATGGCAATCAACTTACTTGGCCTTCAATGATACACTGGACTATAAGCATGAACTACACTACCGAGATCCATTGGAAGCCATTCAGACATTGCTGGGCAATCCTGCTCATGCTCAAGATATTGTCTATAAGCCTTCAAAAATATTTACAGATGCTTCTCATTCTACATGCATATATAATGAAATGTGGACAGGGCGTTGGTGGCATGCAGTCCAGGTGAGCGTCTCAATATTGACTACACTTCTTTAACAACTAACATATGTTTTATAGGACAGACTTCCGGAAGGAGCATCTGTAGCCCCTGTAATTATCTCCACCGACAAAACTCAGCTCACAAGATTTTCTGCATCCAAATCAGCATACCCGGTCTATCTGACGCTAGGCAATATACCCAGAGCAATACAACGCAAATCCGGTCAGCATGCCTGTATTCTAATAGGGTATTTATCCGTGGATAAAATCCTAAAGGAGGAGCTATCTGCCAGAGAAGTATCTTCCAGGGTACAACGTCTCTTCCATGACTCCATCAGAATTATTTTGGAACCGCTGAAAGATGCAGGAAGAAGAGGAATAGAGGTAGTGGGTGGAGATGGTCTTGTGCGCCTGGTCTTTCCCATTCTAGCTTGCTACGTGGCGGATTATCCTGAGCAATGCTTGGTTACCTGTACCAAGTACAGTACTTGTCCCAAGTGTAGGGCTAGAGCGGATGAATTGGCTGAAATACAAAATTTTGCCAGACGCACTCAACCTTGGACCTCAGCCATCATTGACCATGCCAACATCTCCACCAAGACCGACTCTGCCTTTCGTAAACAGTGCATGTCTCAGGATGTAGCTGGAGGCGTATTCGAACCATTTTGGCTTGATTTCCCTCATTGCAATATTCACTTGGCTATCACATCTGACGTACTTCATCAACTCTATCAAGGCATATTCAAGCATATGGTTGAGTGGTGTCAGGAGCTTATGGACGGAGAAGAATTGGATAGAAGACTTAGAACTCTCCCCCCTTGTTATGGCATCCACCACTTCTACAAGGGCTGGTCTGCTTTGGGTCAAGTCGGTGGAAAAGAGAGAAAACATATGGCTAGGGTGCTATTGGCTTGCTTGATTGGCAAGGTTCCAAGAGGTGTAATCCTCTCATACTGTGCCCTCCTTGAATTCATTTATCTTGCCCAATATCCCACTCATGACGACAACACTCTGGAATATATGCAACAGGCCTTACAAGATTTTCACCTTCACAAGGACGTCATCATTAATCTGGGTATCAGAGACCATCTCAACATTCCGAAATTCCATTCCCTGCAACACTACCTGGAAAACATCCGAAACTTTGGAACCACCGATAACTATAACACGGAGATGTTTGAAAGGTTTCATATTGACTTTTGTAAAGAGGGGTGGTACGCTTCCAATGGAAGAAACGAAAAGCCTCAAATGATATCTTGGCTAACTAGAAGAGAAAAGGTAGCATCATTTCAAAGCTATCTCAAGATGTCTATGGAGGATGAAGAAGACGAGTTTGCCCACTCAAGGTTTAGAGATCACAGAGTTATCCTCACCAAACGTCCTCATTGAGTTCACCAAAATATTTTGGACGTCATGCAGAATCATGCTTGCAAAGGCTTCAAGAAAGATCTCATCACCTATCTTAACACTCAGTTGGCTCACTCTCATTCACGTGGACAGCTCAGAGATATGGATCTTCCTTTCAGTCATATCAACATCTATCATGGATTCAAATTCTGTCTAGACTCATTAGGCAATGACGTTGACTTTGATCAAATGGAGGAGGCGGATATTGTCAAAGCACAACCACCTATTTCTCATAAAACTGGACGCTTTGATGCAGTTGTAGTAATGGATGAGCCTGACTGTGAATCTACTGGTTTAACAGGTGAGTAATATTGGTATATATATAATCATTGATTGTATGAAAATTTTAACACTATAGGAACTCGTATTGGAAGGTTGAAAGTAATATTTCGTCTGCCACAACAAGTATATGGTTCTATTCAACCTGCATGGACCAAAGACCCTTTGGCATATGTTGAGTGGTATGCTCCATTGAAACCTGCAGCAGAAGACTATCATGAAATGTATATGGTCAAGAAACACTTACTTTCCTCAGATGGCTCATTGCCAGGTAAAGTTATTCCACTGTCGTCTATTAGACAGACTTGTCAGCTTGTTCCAAACTTTGGAACAACAATTCCTATAGATTGGACTTCTGATAATGTATTAGATAAATGCAATACCTTCTTACTTAATTGTTTTACTTCTAAATACGCTTACCAAACTTTATGGTAATATATAGATTTTCATGATGTCTATACTGGTCTATAGCACTGTGATAGCTGGCCATAGACTGTATAGGGCTATGGTGTGCTATCCGGGCTATATAGAGGATGGTCCTCTATATAGAGAAACAGGTTTTCCTGATGCATGGTGATTATGACCATGAGACATAAGACATTCTGGTTTATATAGTTAGATATAGTTTCAAGAGTATGCCTAGAAGGATAGAGGCAGTAATTAAAGCCAAGGGAGGTCACACAATGTACTAGAATACCTGATTATCACTGTAAAATACTTGAGTCAAAAAACTGTCTACATGAGTCATCATTTTGTAAGCCTCATATCTCCACCATATCTCAACCGATTCCCACACCATAGTGCTCAATTGACAGCCCTGAAGTAGTACTACAATATCATACCAGCATGTCCTTGAGGTGTTTGTATATTCTCATACAATATCATAGATAGTGAAAAATGTGAAAACATGTGGACAGTTTTTTGAGCCACTGTATCATGTACTTAGATATTTTCCTCAGTCTTAATATTATGTTATGATCAGCGTTCACCAAATGGTAAAGGCTTAACACAACCACTAGGACTCGTCAAGGATAAGAGCAAGAGATGATATTGAGAGTGAACGTCTGAGTCTACACTGGGTAGGAACGAAGAGGTTAAGTCTAAAGAGAAACTACGCTAGCTACCCTACCTATATACATAACATTGAGTCGGAGTTATCTGAGTCTGTAAATAATCAGCCAATGAGAAAGAATCGTACGATACTGCGCATGACGTAGTATGACGTCGCGATATATAAGCAATGATGTCAGAGACGGAGATTGAGTGATAGGAAGACATATGGTTCTAGCCCTGGGCGTAGGGGATCCGATCAGAGATGTGACTGGTGAAATGTGAAGTTGTGACATTGTGAAGACGTGATAGTGTGAAAGGTAATGGTGTCACGTGACCGGTTCGGGTATGGGACATAGCCGAAGGAAAACCAAGGAAAGAAAAATGATTTGTGTTGGGAATTCGTGACATATTACTTGTCTTCTCGCAGTTACCTCTTTTGAGAATTCTCAGTAGGACCTTGCCTCCTCTGGACACAAGTCTCAACTTGTTGTCACCTCCAACCCTCCGACCCTCCGCTCCAACTTAGAGCCGTGCTCTAAGTGTCCCTCTTATTTCTCCGCCCCTATCAATATCTTCTTTGCCCCTTTTCCCATCCTCCGCATTATCCTCTGCCTTCCCCACTCCTACCAAACATTCCTCCTGCCACTATCCACCCTCCACATCACTCTCCGCCTTCTCCGCTCCACTCCTAGTTGGCCCGCCACTAGTAGCTCTTACTTCCTGACCCTCAAAGCGGACCTAAGTGGTTCACTTGTCCTATCATTGGACAATGTCGGACCTGCTCCAAATTCGGGGCATGTACTCAGCTAAGGGCACAGCGCAAGAGCTGAAGCCAAGCCCCGACCCCTCTGCCTCTTGAGCCGGCACGGTACCTAACATTGTCCCTCTTCTGTCTGATAATCTCATAAGTCCATTCGGAAGTATGTAATTTTTAAATAACTTACCTAGTAGCGCTAACACGCACGTCTGAGTCCCAGGAGATATTCAAGCTCCTGCATCTCCATTTTGAACATTCGGTGTTCCCTTGCAATCCATAGCACCATCATCACACACATCTCATCTTCCCAGACTGGCGGCAGCGGATACAGAGGGAGTAGTAAGGTGGGTTCATAGACTTGTTGGTGCACGCGAATTCGCGCGGCAGCCCATATAACATACATCAACTCATTCAACAAGGTCAGTGCTGCAGCTCACAGATGTGTATGTTACTCACCAGTTGTCTTCTTGGCATCGTAAATGTCACATCCCGGGCCCTTGGAGCATGTTGGAGCAGTTGTCTAGGGATCTGTATCATATCAGTGAATATCCAATGTTAAAAAGTCATTGACGCACCTGATTTCCATCTCCATTATGATTCCCGAATCCCCCGTTAGCATTGGCATGGTTGTTCATAGTGATAGAGTACTAGATATAAATCTGAATTGGAAGTGAATAAATCCTAAGTTGCCTTCAAGGCTTCATCATTAAGTTATTGGGGAAATGTCCCTATTTGGACAATGATGTGTTTCCGGCATTTTCCAGAATAGTGTGGTGCTTATGTCAGTTCTGTTTCGTTGAGACTCTTAGTTTCAGCTTACCCCTTTCACATTCACTGGTACTAGAGAGCGAACGCAGCAACGATGCAGTTGACGTTAGTCTAAACATTAACACTTGTTCATTTATGTCTATTTTTTAGTCTGGCCTTTGCGGGTGAGATCCTTGCATGATTCGCTTGTGCTTTGCCGCTAGTGATGTGCATGGCCTGGCTTCAGGCTGTGGGCCAGGCCAAGCTGGGCCTGATTAGGCCAGGCCAAGCCAGGCCAAAGTCATGGCCTGGACATGGCCCAGGGCTTCCTTGTTCGGTCATGAGGTCGTACAGAGCCAAAGTTCCTTTTCTGACACGTCCCGGGTGTTAACTTGTAATTTCATCAGATATCAATCACACATTATCGATCAGGATGTATGAGGCTGCGACAAGCAATGCATCAACTGCGCGATGCAATGTTGAGTGCAGTGCTGCTGTATCAGATGTGTTTACTATTTTGGTTTGTCGGTATTCAATAATCAATCCAATAATGCAAAACATAAGTAAGACAAAATGGCAATGGTCAAAATAATTGGTGTGTTAAGGTCGTGCTCAAGGGAGAGGTTACTCAAAGGGCTTTGGCTTCAGCTCGTGCGCTGCGCCCCTTACCCGAGTATGTGCCCTTTAATTTCCGGGGGACAGAGGGGAAGTCCGACGGAAGTCCGGGGAGTTCCGGAGGACTTAGTGTCGGTGGAGTTCGGCAGAACTCCAGGAAGTTTATACTGGGATGGAGTAAGGCTACTACGGAAGTCCAGAGTAGAAACTGAACAGAGGTTAGGCTACCCTAAGGTAGAGCCAGAGAAGTAGTCCTAAGGTTTAACCCCTAAGACTCGGAGGTGGACAAGAGATGAGACTCAAGTCTGGAGATTGCAGGAATGAGCAGAACTAAGATGATATTCGAACTGAGGAGTTCTGGAGTATTACAGGGGTTTATATACTGTAGGTAACATGTAAGAAAATCAGTCAGCAAAGGTAAGTGCTATGTACAAAGCATGTGGAAAGTCTATTACTAAGTGTAGCAGATCAAAGCAGTGAAGTCAGAAATGAAGTAGGAATGGATGGATCAATAAGCATAGCGGAAAGAACATAACCGGTAACCGGAGCAATAGCTAATCTAAAAGGAGTGAGGGGTGAGTGTGGAGATGAAGGCAGAGTGCCGGGCAGAATAGTACAATGGAGGACCGGACTTTAATGAAGTAGATCTGGAATTCCGGATCCGGAGGTACGGGATATGACATGGCACCAGTACGCTACCACTGCTCCTCCGCTGCAAGGGAGGAATGCAGTTACGTTGTCATTGACTGCTCATGTTACTCTGGATTTTTAGGCATTGATGGCTATGTGTTTCCAACTCAAATTTGTCACACTATAAATGATGATATTTAGCAGGAGCTGAATTATATTGTTCTACAGTTCCATCAAGGACTCATCAATTTACTGATCGGTGCCCCATCTGTCGTGATGTTGCCATAACCTCAACCTTGTTTCTTAGTCACATGATCTGAACACTTGTCGGTCATTGCTAAAGTGTCTGTGGCGTTGCCATGATTGAGGATAGAGATTGAGGCAGAAAGAATAGATGAAGCCAAGAACTAGGTGCCTAAGCCAACATTCATGGTTCTGACATAGAGTGACTTGAGTGTCTTAGAAGTATTTGATTTCTCTTTATCATGGGCTCTTCACAAGCTACTAGTATTTAAACCCTACTCGTACTGTAAAGATCCCTTAGTTCTTTTCCAATCAAATCAGACTGGTATCTGGTGACTTTGTGATAAGGATTATATTCTGTTCTATTCTATTCTATTCCTTGTGCTGACACATCAAGTCTTATCAACTTTGACTGCCATCACATATTTTTTCACCTTCAACTGAGTCTTAGCTTATCTTTAAAACCTTCTCTGGTCACCTCGTCAACTGGTCTGGCCCAACATGTTAATCAACGGTGACTACTCCAAAAATGTCTTCAAAACCCAAACAAACCATGTATAATACCCGCTCGTGCACTCACGCTAGAGCCCACTCAGTTTCTACCCCCGCCCACAAGAAAAATGTAAAGGTGCGTGATGACTTCGGAAATCTCATCATTAACCTACTATCAAGTGTTAAAACTCCGGCAGAGGGCCCGAGATCACCTGCAGAACCGCCCAACGCTGCGGGATCCCCTTTGACTTCGGAGGGACGGTCCTATGAGACCGAAAACGAAATTCAACCCGCACTGAGACCCATTCGTTCGTACAGCGATGTGGTCTGTGCGTGAACCCCCTCAGTCGACCCTTGGGTCGACAGGGAGATTAGACTAGCTGCGAGTACTTTAGTTGAGATACCAACAGCTGAAAATATACCAGCACCGGTGGAGAAATCCACGGACATAATGAGTTATGAAACAGCGAGTGAGAATGAAGGGCTCACCAGCCAACCCGAGGACAATGACGATCGTTCTTGGTCGACCGTTGCAAGAAAATGCAACCGAAAGACAATCTTCAACGACGTCAACAAGAGCCGGGCAAAGAGACCCAATGAGCTAACAAAGGAACAAAAGAAAGTAGTTAGCGCAGCTGAACAACAGCTGACAGAAGACGAATGCACCAGAGTGAACCGACGCAAGTATAGTGTCAGGCATGACTGTGGAAATGACACAGAGTCCCCTGGGGAAGGACCATCCAAGGGAAAAGGTCCGGACCCTTGGAACTGGGGAGCAATGAACCTAGAAGAGGAAGAATTAGATATGGAGGCCCAACGCGCGGCTCTAGAATCCTACAAACTGGCCAAACAGATGGCCGGTGAATCAGAATCCGAGGACCCAAGTAGGGACGAACCTGGCGATCCCCGAGGGTGTCAAAGGGGTGACAACGATCAAGCCACCAGAGAGGAAGAGGCAGTAAAAGTCACTGTAGCTAAAGCAGAGGAACATCTGCGGAAAGAGTATGAAAGGAAATTAAAGGAACTCACTGCGACGATAGCAAAGGGACAGCTCGCAATGCCCCAAGTGAAACAGCTGAACAGAGATCCCATAAAGACCCTCGTGGACAAAGTGGTTAACCCCACCTCGGACCGGCAGGAACGGAGGCACACTCCACAGGCTATGGAGCCTGTACACCAGGTAGCACTGAAGTCCTACATCGGACAGGCGTCAGGGAGAATCGGTTGTACCAGGACCGGATCCGGTGACTCAGACTCGTCGTTGGACTTGAGCTATGATAGCTCAGACAGCTCTGACAATGAGTCGAGCTCGACCAAGTCCCAAATGAGTGACGAAACCACTAAATGAAGGCATAAGCACTCCAAGAGAAAAACGAGAAGAAGGAAGGAAAAAACCATGCTGAAACCAATACCACCCACGGTGTACAATGGCGCAGTAGGTTCCAGGGCGTTTCATCGATTTATAACCGAGGGCACAGCCTATGTGGAAGATGGTAAGGTACCCTCCAAAAAGAAGGTGTTCATTCTGTCGCACTACCTGAAGGGTAAAGCCCATGAATTCTATATTCGAGAGGTATCAGGAGATCCATACCGTTGGAGACTGAGAGAGTTATTTATGGAAATGTTCAACTATTGTTTCCCTATTAACTTTAGGACAAAGCAGCGTGAAAAGCTAAAACGGTGCTTTCAGAACAACAAACCAGTGCGCGATTATATCTATGAACTCAATGAGTTGTGGAACATGATTGGGGACATTGATGAATGAGATCGGGTAACTCAATTATGGACAGGATTGAATACAGAGATCCAGTGGGAACTGTGGAAAAAAGAGTTGAATCCAGAAGTATCCTCATTTAAGGAGGTGCAAGCCGCTGCTGAGATAATTGAGATTGCGCACTCGGTAACAATGGGACGCGAAAAGAGACCCACCCGAAAGGAAAAGGAGGCGCCAACAGTAGTCGGTAGTGCGGCAGCAACCCCAAGAATTGGAAACCCTCGAAGGGACCGAAACCCAGATGGGAAACGACGAGTGTATCAGCCGAACCCACCTGGGGAGACCCATCAAACAAAACCCAGTTATGGAGGGGACGGACCTCGACGAAAAAGCAAGACACGAACAGGTCAGAGAAACGACTCGCTAAGTATCGAGGAGCGAAATTGCTTAAGCTCCGAGGGACGCTGCTACAACTGTAAGGAGTTGGGTCATCTGTTGTGGGGCTGTCCCAAGAAAATAAATATAAAGTCTAGCTCACCTGGCAAGCCGCCTGGTATACCCAGCTTTGGGATACATGTGGAAAAGGAATTGTCAGAAGGATTGCGCAGTCTAGCAAACACGACTGAAATGCAAGATGGACTGTACCTAGGTTCGATAGGCATGTGGCTGTCGAATGCCCCCGAATCCCTCATTACAGAAGACGAGGCAGGATCAGCGAGAACAGTGCGACCTAAGGAGTTTCGGGATCCGATAGCCCAGAGAGCTACCCATTTGCTTCAGGGGGTCAAGTACCCGAACGACGAACAATTGACAGATAATTGGGATGACCCTGATCGATTTACTGTGTTTAGAATCTCGGACGACAAGTATACAATAATCGATCACTCACACACCAAGATTCGGACAAACATTGATAGCACAAGCTTGGAAAACCCGAACTTCCGTTTGGACAGCGCATATTTCATTCGTCTAGGTTTGGAGTTAGGGCATGATAGGCACTGGCTGAGAAAACTAGACCGCGAACGCACGGATCGGAAACCTCCAATGGGAGATCCTGTATCAGATTGCTTAGTTTGGTGGCTGAGTGAGCTCAGCCCGATGTGCACCAAGAGTCCGTTTTGTACTTGGCGCCCGCACTTTACCTGTCATAAAACTATCAATGGGAACTGGCTGTTGTATGATCAGGGATTAGACATACATACTTGGGTGCCGGTAGAAAAAGTGCATCAGCGATATTGGGACCCTGAAAGATGGTATGCATGTCGAGTACAGCGCAAGAGCAGGGTGCTGCAAGGCGTCCAGTACGACAGGATGGCCGGGATGTTTAGTCTTCCTTCGGACCATGAGGAGGGCCTTCGGTTGGCGATATCTGACTGGATAAACCTAGGGGAGACAGTAAGGACCTGTGAGGCCTCGGATAGAGGACACCCATTACGGGAGATCAGAGTATGTGGGGTACAGGTACCGTCAGGAACATACCCTTCATTGCAGCAAAACGCCGCGGTGACCCACGATTTCACTCACGCCATACCAAAGCCCATCATAGTTGTGGTGCTCATCAATGAGCGACCAGCTAGGGCACTTATAGACACAGGTTCGTTAGCGGATTTCATGTCACTAACTACTGCAGAACAGGTCAATGCACAGCTCACCGTGTTGGAAAAGCCTCTGACAATTCAGCTGGCCGTCCAAGGGTCCAGATCGAAGGTCAATTACGGGACGGCTGTCCAGTTTCAGTATCAGGGCGCTGACTATAAATGATACTTCAATGTGATTAACTTACAGAATTATGACCTCATACTGGGGACCCCGTTTCTTTATCAGCATAGCGTGACTGTTGGGTTCAACGTGTCACGCATCGTGCTGGGAAGCACTAAGCCATTAGCCTTGGCGGGAGAAGGGGTAACGACCCTGGAGTCGAGAGTAGCGGAGATCATTAGTGACAAAATTGAGAAGACACAGGAATACCTGAAGCAGTTAGCGTGACCTTTATGTGCTAAAGCTGCTGAAGCGAAGCTTCCACCACTCTGCTCCATAAATCATACCATCCCGTTAATTGACGAAGCGAAAATTTACCCGTGGCGACCATCGAGGTGCCCTGAACTGATGCGACCTCAATGGACTGAAAAGCGAAGCGCATACCTAGTGTCAGGACGCTGGCAGATGACAAGCACTGGAAATACTGTACCTATGTTATTCATATGAAAACCTGGGATGGATCGCCTAAGAACGGTGGTTTATCTTCGAGAACGAAACAAGAACACACGAAAACTTAGCTCTCCTTTACCGGACATGGAAGTAATATTGCGTCAGGTAGCACGAAAGAAGTTTCATTCGCTAATGGATGGGCAAGACGCGTACGAGCATATCAGAGTGATTCCTGAACACGTATCACGGATGGCTATGACTACCCCTGACGGAAACATGGTCAGCCATGTGTTACAACAAGGGGATTGCAACGCACCCGCAACCTACCAGGCCGTGATGAATCATCTATTCGGCGAATACATCAGAATTTTCATGGATGTGTATCTGGATGATATTATCATTTACTCTGATACGCTCGAGGAACACATTGAACATGTACGGGTGATTGTGTGTATTCTCGAACGAGAGCAGCTCTACTTGAGCGAGAAGAAACTTAAATTTCTGTGCCCTGTGATGAAAATTCTGGGCCGGATTGTGAGTGACAACAGGATTTGTATGGACCCGGACAAAGTGGACAAGGTACTCACCTGGAAGACACCCATGAATCGCGATCTCTGTTGGGGGTTCATCGGGGCCGTCAGGTACCTGGCAGACGATATACACAAGGTCCATATACCATTGGGGGTCTTGTCGGCTGTGTGCGGTGACACAGTTCCGTTTTGTTGGACAGAAACAGAGCAGCGCGCTTTTGAAGAGGTAAAGTGTTATGTTAACGCTTGCTCTAAACACCATCAGGTACCACTTACCTACGGGCCAGACCAACCGCCTGTCTGGATGATGACCGATGCCTGCCCCACGGGGGTGGGAGGTGTGGTGGCACAGGGGCACGACTGGAAGTCTGTGAAAATCGCCACATTTTACTCGGCGAAGATGAACTCAGCCCAGTGGAATTACCCTATCCACGAACAGGAGATGTTAGCTGGGGTGGAGACTATGCTGCAGCATAGGGACATCCTTCAAGGATGCCCCTTCACTTGGCTCACAGATCATAAAAGCTTGATTTACATTCTAAATCAAAAGAACTTATCAGGTCGGCAGGCTCAATGGGTAGAGAAGCTCGGAGAGTTCGACTTTACTGTTGAGTATTTGCTGGGAGCGCACAATGTGCTGCCTGATGCCCTGTCCCACATGTATGACTTTGACGCACCAGGCACGGTGCGCACGGCTAGCGAATACGTCACATATGATGAGTACTCACCGCCCAAGACTGGGTCTGGCTTAGTAAGTATGCCAGTGCTGGTGGGTGCTGAGGCGGATGCGGTCACTCTACAATGAAGCTCGCGGAGGGTCATCCCCACTGAAAAATGCATTCAGGCGGATGCCCAGAGCTCGCAGATGACAGTCCACGCTGCGAAGCGCGTTGAAGCAGGGACTCAGCTGGGGATGACAACAGGCACGCCCCTGGTGAGTCCGCCCGCGGAAGGGGCGAGTGCGTCTCCAGCACAGCAGGAAGCACACACAGATATAGCGCGGCATGCAAAATGATTCGTGCTGTGTGGCCCTCGATCGACGGATCAGGACCCTGCCTCAAGAATGGAGGGGGGGGAACAGGTGACAGAACCTGAAATTCAAAGTGAAGGCAAAAATGAGGAAGAAACAACAAGAATTCCGGTGACGTACCCTCATGAGATGGAATTACTGGGCCAAATGAGGCACCAATATGAGAAAGACACCTTATTTAAAAAGGTACTCAAAGCACCCAAAGAGTTTAGAAACTTCGAAGTAAAGGATGGGTTAATTAGAATCAAGTTAAAAGATAGGACACCCCTATGCATACCTGATGTTAAGATAGATGGGCGGCGACTAATAGAGATCATAATTGATCAAGCGCACTCCATATTAGCCCATCTAGGGGCAGATAAGACCCTGTCATATCTCCAGGAGCACGTCTGGTGGAAAACCATGGCGCAAGACGTACAAACATTCTGTACCTCTTGTAAAACATGTCAGCGTAGCAAACCGCCCAACCAGAAACCCTACAGATTGCTGAATCCTCTCCCGGTCGTGTCATGACCCTGGGAGGCCATAGGAATCGACTTTGTTGGGCCTTTGCCATTATCTCGCGATCGAGACATCGAGTATGATTCAATAACGGTTGTAATAGACTTACTGTCAGGGATGGTACACCTTGTGCCCAGCCGAACCACATATACCGCTAAGGACGTGGCTGAATTGGTGTTTGCAGAAGTCTACAAGCACCATGGCATCCCTAAAGCGATCATCAGTAATTGCGATGTCCTATTTACCAATAACTTCTGGACTAACCTTAATCATCTCATCGGTGTGACTTTGAAGATGTGAGTGCGTATCACCCAGAAACGGATGGGGCCACAGAACGTGCCAACAGAACTATCGGGCAAATGCTCAGAGCTTGCATAGCCCCAAACCAGCGGGATTGGGTCGTGAGACTACCAGCAATTGAGTTTGCCATCAACATGGCCCAATCAGAATCTACAGGTCTGCCGCCATTCTATATGAACACCAGACGATTACCTCATGCTATGATCTGGGAGAACCCTGGGCCTTCTGAATACCCAGGGGTGCGCGTCTTCACTCAGCATATGAAGGCTGCTATAATGTCGGCTCATGACGCGGTCATCAGTGCCTGAGTTAAGCAAACTCAAGAGGCAAATAAGAAATGATGGCCAAGCCCACTAGAGAAGGGTGATCTTGTGTATATATTGACAAAAAATATATCCTTGCCTAAGGGAACGTCCAGGAAACTATTGCCTAAGTTTATTAGTCCTTACAGGATACTGGAGGACTACCGAAACAATTCATATAAGCTTGAATTGCCCGACCGATTGAAACAACGAGGCATTCACCCAGTATTTCACTCGTCTTACCTTCGAATTCACGTGCCGAATGATGATAGACTATTCGCAGGGCAACTGGAAACCCAGGTAGCTGATTTCGGGATCCCCGAGTCGGAATGGGCGGTAGATAAAATTTTATCACACTCGGGGAACCGGACGGACACCGTGTTTGAAATACTCTGGCGATCTGGAGACAAAATGTGGTTACCGTACAATCAAGTTGAAAAACTTGGGGCGCTTGCCAAGTATTTCAACTTACTTGGAATTGAGGATGTCTCAGCATTAGGAGACGGCAGCGGGAAGCCACCATTGGGTGACTCCCAAGTGTTTTTAGGACACTTATTTTTCGATCAGTTCACAGACTATAAAACCCCAGCAACGAACTTACCTGCCCCATCTCCCAATCGCCCTTTCAATCACAACTTACCCATCACGCTAGGCCTTATCATATCCCCTCGCGCTCTCTTAATCCTAGCAGTGATGGCCCCATTACTCACTTGCGTTGGCGCATGTCGCTTCACTCTTACCAACGCTGCCACTGACGGTGATTTGCTGGTTGTGGTCGACATCATTCGTGTGTACCTTGAGTATGATGCTCACTTGAGGTCAGGCACCGCTGCGGATCGCGCAACACCTGCAGGATACAGGGAGTTTGCTTTGGCCTTTAACACTATGCAATCCCTCTCCTCAGCCACTCCGCAATTCTCAGAAGAGAAGACTCACGGGCCCAAAATCACTGGCCCCTCCCCTTCATTCACTGACTTGGTCAGGGACAATGTGCCCGCTGATACCCAGCACAATCCTGCACCGCAGCTCCCTGAAGGGGGGCGCTGGATCAATCCTCAGCGCATTGAGCTACTGGAAGAGGCTCTGTGGCAGAACCTCGAAACTACTAAAAGGAAGTGTGAGTGGCGCGAGCGCGCAATCACAGAGCAAAAAAACAAGCGCACCCATACGAGCTTCCGCTCCAGGAACATTGCTGATGAATACCCCATTAATCGAGGGGAAGAATCCAGCTCTAGTGGACATAACACTCCTTCCACCCTAGGGACTTCCATTCAGACCCTAGCCCCACCCACGCATATGGAGGTAGATGATGAGGATGGTGAAACCACCACTCAGGGTCCTGCGCCCAAGACTGGTAGAAAGGAAGGCGCTAGGATCCCCAAGGCAAAATAAGGGTGATGGCACACCCTGGAGGGGGGTATGTGACATTGCCACGATCGAGGATAGAGATCGAGGCAGAAAGAATAGATGAAGCCAAGAACTAGGTGCCTAAGCCGACGTTCATGGTTCTGACATAGAGTGACTTGAGTGTCTTAGAAGTATTTGATTTCTCTTTATCATGGGCTCTTCACAAGCTACTAGTATTTAAACCCTACTCGTACTGTAAAGATCCCTTAGTTCTTTTCCAATCAAATCAGACTGGTATCTGGTGACTTTGCGATAAGGATTCTATTCTATTCTATTCCTTGTGCCGACACATCAAGTCTTATCAACTTTGACTGCCGTCACACTCGCCTTGCATGTGGAACAAGATAAAAAACACACTGCCAACTAATCGAGTCGTACAGATAGGCTTCAATACAAAATATGATGGGTAAGTCGGGTATCTAGTGTAAAAGAGTGTAAAAGTTGTATGTTTTAGTGTTCAGAACTTAGAATCTGCTTATCTGTTGCTGACTATACTCTGGCGCAAAGGGCCAGTCAGAGTAGCCCCGTTGATTGATTACCGGGCATGTACCACATTTTTTGGTCACCATGCTCAAGCGTGACATCCTTTAGCAGGCGGAATGGAAGGTCGGGCACAAGAAAGGGGGGACGTCAGTCCCTGTCAAGTATGGAAATAAATAATGAACGACTCACGTTGGCATGAACGACCTCCTGAACACAACAAGTCCGCCCTTGTTGTCTATTGTCTCAATAGCACTTTGCAGTTATGCCCATTGATGCTGATGAACATGCTTCCCTCACGCCCATTCCAGATATCCTAGAGGAAATAGCTGTTGTGTTCAGAAGTCTGTGGTTTTACGACAGGGATATACGCAAGTTTGTGCTTGCGCAACTGCTCGACGATGTAGGAGAACTGGAGTTTTGGATCTGCCATGCCCGTGAGTATGCCAAAAATCAGCTGAACAAAGCAGGCCATAGTGTCAATATGATATATCATTTACTGTCATTGAAGTAAATCTGTGATACAGTGGCTCAAAAAACTGTCCGCATGTTTGTGCTATTTTCACCATTTTTTACCTGTCCATTCATATACAATAATGTAAATGGTGAAAATAGCACAAACATGCGGACAGTTTTTTGAGCCACTGTATATCCCTGGAGTCGGCTTACCACGGCAAATAGTTTAGATGCCATTACAAATGATATATCACCATGTACCCAATATGCACTGCCGCAATTTTGGCAATTTTGAAACTCAGCTTTTGTCATTCCAGGCATTTGGTCACCTCCTCATGTCAGGCCTTCTCACACCATTCCCACACTCCGCATTTTCGCATTTTTAGCCACCTTACTCCACAACACCCAAAACATGACCCAATATGGTACATCCCCACAATTTCAATTATTCCCACCCTCCCCCTACATCATTGCAGCTTCACCACCACACCACAATAGATCCCTGTGCATATATAAGTAGCAGTTTAGTATATATATGTATGATATAATGTAATAGACCGCTTTTTTTGTCTATTTGTGTGCCTGCTCCTCCTCTAGGGCCCTCTTGACATAGGGTAGGTTATAAAACATTTTCGTATTTTTGCCCCTTTGGTGGGGAGGTGTTCTATTATATTCAGAACATATATGAGTAGATTCCCATCTTTATTTCACCCCCTGAAGCGTCCTATGGGTCTTTGGACTTTCCCACACTCCATTTCTTATCTATTTCACTTCCTCAGCACTCAATTCCTGTTGGATTGTTTTGTGAATTTATGAATATGATACTGAATATATTTGGAATGTACTCCAAGTTTCTGATTATTAAAATTCGATGTTTTGAAGGTATTGATCCCTTATCAGTAGAAATAGCAAGCATATGCAGTATCTCAAGCCTACAACCTATTTTGAACTGATCTTTGTCATACAAAGCAAGTATATATACTGTGATAATCATATATGCACAGGCTGAATTATTTATGCAAGAGTAAGACACTGAAACATCAAAAATGCGATCATATATATGTTTGTTCCTGTAGAAGGATCCTATGTGTGTACTGGGCCAGCTATATGATAGACCTACTCCATATATTCATAGAAATAGACACCTCACCTCAATTAAGGTCCGGTCCTACAGGAAAAACTTTCACAGGGGGTGAACCACCAGGAGAGGGGGGTACACTATGCAACAGGTGATCATCCTATGGTCCTATGCTCCTGATACATTGTTCCTACAGTTGGATAGATACTAGGAATGATTTTTCCAAGTCTGTCTACCTAGAAATAATTCAATAAGAACACATTTTATGTTTTCTTGCATATGTGCTATATCTATTGATGTAGGACGCTTCAGGGGGGTGAAATAAAGATGGGAATCTACTCATATATGTTCTGAATATAATAGAACACCTCCCCACCAAAGGGGCAAAAATACGAAAATGTTTTATAACCTACCCTATGTCAAGAGGGCCCTAGAGGAGGAGCAGGCACACAAATAGACAAAAAAAGCGGTCTATTACATTATATCATACATATATATACTAAACTGCTACTTATATATGCACAGGGATCTATTGTGGTGTGGTGGTGAAGCTGCAATGATGTAGGGGGAGGGTGGGAATAATTGAAATTGTGGGGATGTACCATATTGGGTCATGTTTTGGGTGTTGTGGAGTAAGGTGGCTAAAAATGCGAAAATGCGGAGTGTGGGAATGGTGTGAGAAGGCCTGACATGAGGAGGTGACCAAATGCCTGGAATGACAAAAGCTGAGTTTCAAAATTGCCAAAATTGCGGCAGTGCATATTGGGTACATGGTGATATATCATTTGTAATGGCATCTAAACTATTTGCCGTGGTAAGCCGACTCCAGGGATATATCACAGATTTACTTCAATGACAGTAAATGATATATCATACTGCCAGGATATTGTGAACAAAGACCAGTACTGATTAATGTAAAATGTGCTGTTGAATATACCCCACGGACTCAATGGGAACCTCATCCTCTTGGAGCCAACAGCATCTACACCGGCATCTGCAACCTCGAGTGCAAACCTTGCACAATTCTTGGTGCTCCCACCATATTCATCCGTACGGTGGTTGGTGATGTCTTGAATGAATTGATCGACCAAGCAGCTGTTCACATCATGAATCTCAACGCCATCAAAGCCCGCTCGAATGGTGTTTTTTTGCGGCGGTGTTCTCGTGGACTGCATCTGTTACCTGTAGTCTGGGGCGCACGTCGGCTCTCGTGCAGTGAATTCGATGTCGATACAACACACCTTCTTCCACCCCTCCACATGAGCCTCAGTGTATACTTCAGGGACATAGTTATAACTGCCAGCATTCTGAGACATGAATGTGGCCTCTGTGGTAAAAAGAGTGCTAGGAGTGAATCCTCACTGAGAGTAGTATGCTAGTGCTTGTGGACCTGGGTGACTTTATGCTGCTTTAGACGCCCAACACATGATGCTGTTACTATCATAAGCGCCCCTGCTTGACGAGGGCCACATACTCCAAATTACGTAGCCGGAGCTTTCCAGATCACTCAACAACCGACTACCATTGCAAGTGTTGAACAACACCCACCATTGAAATATTCCAATCCTTCCACCATCGAGAAACTAGTGGGTGGTAAATCCGGTCGCACCATTCAAGGGATGAAAGTAACCTTGCTGGATGCATGCCTTATGACATACATGACTTCCAATTGTCGGCTATCACTCATCTCAGACATCGCAGATGTACCATGAGTACTGCTACTGGGACAGACAAGTAGAGCTTGTTGTTCATCATCACATGTTGGAACAACTGTCTTCCTTCTCTCAAGGTTTGACTATGGGAGACTAGTACCATGCAGCATGTTGACCGTGTGGGAGTGACAGCAAGTTTGATATCTCTCAAGATTCTTCGCATACTAATTACGAGCCCGCCATAATCATTGCCCACGCTCTTTTAAGATGCATTGTTCTTGCACGGAATCACACTATTGTTTCATAAATTTTGTGATGCCTGGAGATCCACATATAGTTGGCACATCGTGACGGGGGCCTGTTCATAATTGATTCATGTTTTTTCAAGGCGATATCATTTATGCTCGTCTGCTCAACAAGCCTGTTGTTGTGATTAACTCCGAGGAGGTCGCAAGGGACCTCGTTGACAGGTGTTCCACCATATATTCAAATAAACGCCAGTTGATTGTTTACGAATCGTGAGTGCATCTTGGAGTATTACTACGCATCAATCACGAGGATATTGTCAGCTTTGCTTCGGGCTTCAACGCAGGAACAATGCCAAGTAATACATTGTTACACATTATGTTGATGTCCAGTAGGTGGGGCTTCACTGACGAATTTTTCACCAGGCATTTCATCAAGCTGAGATACCCACTTATCATACTGTGCAACTCCATTGCGCCCACAAAATGTTGTTCAGTCCTCTACAAGACCCTGGCAATTATGCAAGCCATTTTAAGATGTCAGCACTGTGGTGGTGTTGTGGACTTCTCAGTATCATCATGTATCAATTGTAGATGCATATGTTGCAACATATTCCAGACAACTTTCGCGAAGTTTCGCGTCAGAGATACCCATGGCACACTAACAGAGATTGGCCCGAAGGTGAGTGTGCATGGCTCGCACATACTGTGCCATCGTCCATGTCAATACCACGACATCCAAAGATAGCAAAAACGCATTAGTGAAAAGCCTTGCAAGGTTGAGTTCAATGCCTGTACTTTATGCACGGTACTTGTATGTATGAATGGCATGTCTATGAGCGTTAGTCAAGAATATGCCTACTGTACAAGAGTTGATACACTGCAGGCCGTGACATCTTAGTCCCCACATGAACCAGTATGATTTAATGTTTTCCACCATCGATCGAGATCTGCATAGTTGTCAGTCTTCATGCACGGGCTCTTGAAGTAGTACTTACGCTTTGCCGTGTTGGTTAGTAATGTTGGTCACATTAGGACGGATAGCGAAAAAGGTTCTAAAATATGGGCAGCATGATAATGCTGCGCCACTGCTGCGATTGCTGTGGTAATTGCCGCGATGTTCTACAGTCAGTACTACTACTAAGTAAATACAACTTGCTTGTCGCTGGCACATGTTCTGGTGTCTGCATGGTGCACTCATTAGTGCATGGAAGGACTTCACATGATAAATATAAGCTCGCCCAGTACTTGGTGTCTTGAAATGTAGCACTGAAGACCAAATTGTAGTCTGTCCTGCTGTTCCAGATTTAAGATATCATATGAAAATCCACCACTAAAAAGTATGTGTATTACAATGTGAGTTCGAATCCAATACATGATGCGAAAAAATGGGTCTGAAGGATATGCTACTATGTATTATACAACTTGAGTTCTGACAATTTATGAGCATAAGTTAGTGTCGCAGCAGTAATTGCAGCACACTGCAGCATCAATGTCACAGCACCCCCCAAAAAAGGAAAGAGGGTGCTGCGGTGCGCTGTGATTGTTGCTGCGACACTCACCAATGTGCATGCGGCGCTCATTTTTGGTTTGTTTTGCTCAACCACCTGACGTCAATATCGTCAAGTTGTCTGGTGAGTGCTCAACCAGTTCATTTCTGTTGCATACATGTCAGTAGTCCATCCAAGTCAATCAATTCACGATCAATGCCAATCTCATTGTCTGTTATCGCTGGCTTGTGTATTGGCCCCGCGTCATTCAGCATTCTATGGCGCTGGATCTGTTCAACTATTCTTCACATACAAAACTCACACATGCACAGACACCACACACACACAAACAAGACGCACACACATAATCACTCCGTCACATACACACTCTCGTACCATAGAAAAATTAGTACTGCACTATTAGATCTGACATGATTCGATAATCAATTTATATTGCAGACAAGGCTGCTGATGAAGGGTTCTATAAACGAATCTTTTTAAGGCCCGGCTGGTAGACGAGATGGAGCGATGAGAAGTTAGCAGGTCTTGGAGTGAAACGCACTGAGAGTCGCCAGCATTGGCAGCAAAGCCTCAAATCTTTTTGAGGCCATGATGTGACATCTACTATTTAGTGTGTGAAGGCTCGAAGTAGGTGGCACAAGTAGAAGAGCGTTATCAACTGATAGACAAAGGTTAGACTCGTTCGGCGGAGCCTCATCCCATGGTGTTCATCTCGTCCTCGGCGGGTGGCTGGACACTGCCAGACACTTTGGTCCCTCCGGGGGTGCCAGTGTTAAGTGTGTTCCTCTTTTGGTTCCCAAACCCCTTTCTAAACATCTTAACCTGCTGCTTCTTGAAGTAGTTCTTGCTCTTCTTGTTCATCAAGCGGCGCTCCTCGATCTTGTCCCGCTGATGAGCGGCAGAGAGGGCAGTGTGCCACACCATGCAGTCAACTTGGTCCATGCGTGTAGCAGACAAAGTGACATCTTTGTCATTGTCGTCCAAGAGATCTCCCATCTCAACGGACGTGCCTTCGCACTTTACAACGCCTTGTTCGTCGATGACAGAGGCGGTAGTGGTAAGTCCCTCATGATTGTAGGCGCGAGCAAAGTACTCATAGCCCAATGGGCAGGCAGGGCGAGCCGAGGGAGCCTTGTTACAAAGGGCGTAGGAGTATATGATGAATGCCTTCAGCTGGCTGCGGGTGACGAGACGTAGTTCGTCCATGTCGTCTGGGTTGGTGATAATGAAGTCTCGATCGCGCTCGGCGAAGTTAACGAGGGGGGCGGAGTGCATGGTTCTTGGTGATTGGCTGGAGGGAGTGATAGATGGGGGGTTTGGAGGAACGGGACAGGGTTTTATACGTTGGTTAACCTCCAATGCGACTGCTCCTAGAGATATTGGCTGGTCATCATTAGGGTTCGTTCCTTGTCCATCTGTCAGTTCCAAAATATTCTGATAGCGCGTTCAAGTGCGTTACCTGGTCATATGGTAACCAGGTAATATCGCTTGCTTGCCACTGTACCTCAAAGGACGCATCTTCCCAGGCCCCCATGTGTGACAAGATTCTGTCGACTGCCCACTCGGTGTCAGGCTCTCCGAAATCCGTGATTTGGGTCTCCAGCCGTCCTGGAAACAGGCGGTTGTTGTTGGGCAAGTGAATGCGCAGCAAGGAGGCGTGGAACACGGGATGGACTCCCCATTGTTTCAATCAATCGGGCAAGTCCACAAGGAAGGAGTTGTTACTGTAGTCCTTTAACAGCTTGTATGGCCCTACATACTTGGGTAAGAGTTTCTGTGCTAGCCCCTTAGGAAAGGATATATTCTTTGTTGATAGGTATGCCAGGTCGCCCACCTTGAAAGGGCAGAGCTGGTGCTTTCGGTTGGTGTTCCGAGTCTGCTTGACGTGGGCTTCGAGCATTGAGTTGTGGGCTCGTATGAGTGACTCCTTCATTTTCTGAGAATATGCTCATACCCCCGGATATTCGTCCTGTCGGGGGTTATTCCATACCATGGTGCGCGGCATCCACCCGTTATTGATGAAGAATGGTGACTGGGAAGTCGATTCCGACTGGGCGAGATTTATTGCAAATTCAATGGCGGGTAAGTGTGACGCCCAATCCTTCTGGTTGGTTGAGATGCAGGACCATAGCATTTGCGTGATGGTTCGATTGGCCCGCTCGGTTGCCCCGTCAGATTCGGGGTGGTAGGCGCTAGACATTTGCTGCTCGATGCCTAGCAGTCTGTTGAGGTGAGTCCAAAATGTGCTGGTAAACAGGACATCTCAGTTGCTTACAATCGACCGAGGCAAGCCGTGTAGCTTATACACTTCGGCAAATACTAGCTCAGTGATGTCTCTGGCATTGTAGTTAACACGGCTGGGCACTAGATGGACCATTGACGTAAAACGGTTGATTATGACCGTTATTGAGTCGTATTCCCCGTCGCGGTCCTTTGACAGTGGAAGGGGTCCCACGAAGTCGATTCCAATTGACTCCCAGGGCCTTGAGGGTATGGAGAGTGGGTGTAGCATCCCATAGGGCCTCTGGTTGGAGGGCTTGCTCCTCTTGCATGTGTTGCATGAGCTACAGAAAGCGGTAACGTCACTTACTAGACTCTCTTCCACCACACATGGTCCCGAAGGTACGTCAATGTCTTTGATGCTCCTAAGTGCGCCAGGAGTGAATGGGCTTGTGAGATAATCACCTCTCTGATAGCTTGATTGCTGACTTTTACGTTGGGCACACATAACAGGGTCTTA